ACCCATGTAGTTCTGGAGGATTTGTTTGATGTGGCTGATCTTGGCTCCAGAATAGCTATGGATCTCCCAGTCCCTGAGGAAGGTTGCAATCCTAGCCAGGTTAGAGGATCCAATAACCAGGGTCTTTGCCATGGCGGGTGGTAGGTACCATAAATCCTTCTCGCCTTTACCTTTGTATTCCTAGGGTTAGGAATGATGGGCGATCTAGGGGACAGACAGTTGACAAGTGCGTTCAGTGGCGATATAGATCCCGAGGAAGTAGTTGAGCAAGACACAACCCGGGGCGCACTGGCTGATCTAGCTGCACGCTTCGAGGAAGTGTTAATGCATTTGCCTTCTCCAGGGGATAATTTTCTCTTGTTGAGTGTGTTTCGTTATGGTGTTAGTAGTCCGATTAACAACCAATGGCTAACTGCGTAACAATATCATTACGCTCTAAACAGAGCTCCAAATTGGACCAAATATGTTTACATAACGTTACGTTAGCCCAGATTAAACGAAGGGCTGTCATGTTGCTGTACTTGGAATAGATATGATTGAACGGGAAGAATAGACACACTCCTTCAAAAGCTCAAGTATCAGAAGCCAATCCAGCAATGGCCAGAGAGAGATTTCTCGGACCATTTCTTCAGGAGAGGGGTTCACTAGTCCGCTGGTTCTCTAGTCCGCCGCGATAAGAAATACTATTAATATGGGTATCAAAAAACCTAATCTGAACCCCAACCCTAACCCCTATAATAGATATCGGTAGACTAATGAACCCGCAGACTAGTGAGCATTCTCCTGCTTGAGGAATAGAGTAGTAACTTTGTCATGAGGAACAGTGTCGAGCGTCTTGGAGAAGTCAATAATTGCCATATCTATGTGTGCACCGATATCACGTTGTCTTGGCATGTTGGACTAACTCACGGTTCAATTCTTTATTTCAATAATTCGCTTGCGCGTATAGGAAAATCATCAAGTAATGGACATACACATTTACTCACAATCCTTCGGTGTTCTTTTTCAACCACTTCGAACGCATCACGCCTCTTATCTCCTTTGAAAAAAGATACGCACTGGCACCAAGAAAAAACGGCGTCGCCCTTACGTTGCTTTTTTCGGTCCTACTAATGACCGACAGGAATCAACAAGATATAATATGAATATGTCTATGAAGTGTAGTGTAGACTATTCACAGTTCTTGGCCACCTTTTGCAAGTTGACGCAAGAAGATGCCCAAATAAAACCCACAAATATGGTAATTGTCCCACCTTAATGCCGATGTTGCCAAACGTTTCATATAAATTAAAGAGTACAATTAAAATTTAATTTGCTTCAGACATAATTTGAGACCCAGATAGAGATATCATTGGCGTTCTTAGAGGGATGTTTAGCCGCCTCCGCTTTGAGATTGGGATACAGATGTCATTCAGGGGAGGGAATACAGACACGAAGAAGAGCGTAACTATTATGAACTTAGTTTTTAGTTAATGACATAACAGTGTGATTTCCTGTATATAACCTTTGAATTATGGATGTTATGGAAAGTGTCTTAAGTATACTATACTGAGCGCCATGGAAAACGCATCACTTAGTTTTTCGTATAACAAAATGATCCTGTAAACATATCTTATTTATTGTGCTTCTTATGTGAACAATATTCAAACGGGAACACATCAATAACAACACATTTGTACACTTATGGATGTTTAATCTGTAATCAACGGTACAAAGACAGAGGGGTCAAAACCAAAAGTACGACACGGGCTCTTACGCACGCTGTGCAGCGACGTCGCATGGAATTTACCAATGTTTGAAAGAAGGCCTGGGGCAAATTGTTCCATTCTTGGACAACAGCAGCTTCTAAAGCAGCAACGGTGTGAATCTGTGGTCTCCGATACAGACGGCGTCCAATCTCATCCCAGACATGTTCTATCGGTGCCATGTCCGGAGACATGGCTGGCCAGTCCAAGACATTGATGTTGTTAGCAGCCGTCCATACTAAAACGGGCGGTATGCGGACGTGCATTATCCTGTTGGAAGTGTTGAAGTTGTGGGTGCGCTCGAAACATCGGAACAACAATTGGTTGCAAGACATCATCACGGTAGGCTACAGCATTAACGCGACCCCTGCAAATGTGTAGGGCAGTCCGGTGATGAAATGTGAAGCCACCCCACACCATTACACTTTCCCCACCCCATCGATTCGTTTAGAAGACGCAGCAGTCTGCAAGACGTTCCCCAAGACGTCTCCACACACGTAGACGGCCATCAGCGTCATAAAGATGAAAGCGACTATCATCACTGAAGAGCACACTTTGCCAGTCTACTCTTCTCCATGTCTGGTGTCCATATCAAACGCCGCTGACGGTGATGATCCCGGAGGATAGCTCCAACATAAGGTCGTCGTGCACGGAGTCCTACTTCTCTTAGACGACGTCTTACGGTGTTGGCACTTACTGGTCCTTGTCTTCCGACGACTGCTGCACCCGTTCGAGTCGCTGGGCGGAATCTGTCACGCAGATGAGTGACCCTGATGTAGCGGTCTTGAGTCTGGGTTGTAACGCGTTGTGGACCAGGACGTTGACGGTAACGTGTTGATCCAGTAACTCGAACACGTTCCACCAACCTTACAATAGTGGACTGATGACAATTGAAGTGTCTGGCAATAGCACGTGTAGACATGCCAGCCCTGGACATTCCCATGGCTTCATTCCGTTGATTTTCAGTAAGTCTCGGCATCTCTAGCTCGATTCCTTCACACGTCCAACAACAAATTACGACAGATTGACGTTTCACAGTTCATGTACTGCACATTAAGTTGAAAACATGCTTTTAAAGGGCTCGCACACAATGCTGCACGTGAATATTGGGTTTTTAATGTGCTTTTTTTGTACACACGGGCCGATATTTTTTGCGTTTGGGGGCATTGTGTGAAACAATAGTTTATAGTATTGCATAATATTATACATACAAAACCACCTAGTAATAAAATATTTGGGAAAAAAGGTGATGCGTTTTCCATGGCGCTCAGTATAGTTTGTTTCAGTTTACTGATAATTGTAAATGATCAGGGACGGACTGGGTAAATAATACACTGATCAGCAGTGAATATTCGCTAGGTCGCTACAATCACTGATAAGGATGACATGATGCGACTTAATGAGTCTCAAATATTAACTTTTTTCCACCGGCAAATTAAATTCTAAAACATTTTTTTTTGATGTATTAGAAAAATAAATAAAGACGTTTGACGTATTTTTAGGTAAAAATTATTTCCTATTTAGTGTAAATGGGTATTAAAATGACTAAAAGGCAGCATTCTGCCAGAAGCAGTAACGTCTTATGTAAACAATGCACGCGCCATTCAACCAATGATTGACGCCGCGTGCTGTGACGGCACGTGTTAAAGGCAGTCATCTTTTACAGAGATATTAGAAGACTCATAATTCTCTGTAAAACAGATTGGGTAAATAACCGTGAGTCCTTGGACCAACTTTTTTTTTCTTTTAACCAAGTGGTGAAGATGTAGCATAATCTATCAGTAACAGATAACCCTTCGACGTTTTCCAAAACAACATGAGTTATCAACATCAACTACAGTTATAACCAAATATATTTCGTCACATGCAGAATGGTTTGTTACAAATAAGCGTTGGGCCTTACATTTAGGTGAGCAGGTTTCTGGCCCCCGAGTTCGCAAAGCATTCTCAGACTTAAGTTGAGTATTTGCTCAACTTCCAATCACATAAACATAAAACTGTGCACATAGTTTCTTATTGATGTATTTGATACATTCAAACAACAAAGGCTATATAAAGGACTATATTTTAGTTAAAATATGGTGAACAAGTTTGAGTAAATTCTTTTCTTACTTTTGAGAATGCTTTGTGAACTCGGGGTCAGATTTTATGTGTAGGATAAAGCACGAGGCTGAGGTTATGCTGGGGAAAGAGAGACTGAAGAAAATAACCAGAGAAAATGAAAAACCGAGGCCGGTAGACCGAGGTTTTTCTGCCGAGGGTTTTTTCTGAAGTCTTTCTTCCCCAGCATAACCGAAGTCGAGGACTTTATCTTGCTTATAAACCGTCTATGTTTACATGTACGCAAGATGAGAATATCCCAGAATTCCCGTAAGAAAAACCTTATAATATCATGTTTTCTTATGGAAAAAAAACCCTACCCTGGAAGAATAACCCGGTACAGGTTTACCACTTTCAGAAGAATAACCCCAAATTTCCCTGTATTTATCCAAAGCCGCCCCGCCTTTCAGACCGCAAGTTATTCCGGGCATAGAATATACCCCAAAGATCAAAGAGATTTACCGTTACAGGTTTATAAGCAAGATAAACAATGAACTGGTTTCCTCCGAGTAAGGTGTCAGTTTATTTATGATTCAGGCTATTATATTTTTCAGTGGATGCGAAGATAAACCATAATCAACTCTTAATGTCATCTTATGTGTCGGGTTTTCACTGGATAGGAATCCAATCTGCTACTCAACGGTCATTGATGATTAAATGCAAAAATGGATAATTGAGACTATGTTCTTTTTTTATCGTACCAACTTTAGTAATGATGATCGAGGCTAGGCTTAAAATTCAAAAGCTAATATCTCGGTTCATAGTGGAGCAATTTGACTGAAATTTTCAACATCTTCCTTTTAGGTTATCTATTTTTTTTAACTATTATAGTGAGAACGCCATTGTTTATGTATACCACTACGCGCAAGCAAATTATTGAAACAAAATTGAACCATATGTTTGTCCCGAAATGACCCAGTTTGTGTCAAGTGGGCATTAAACCCAATTTCTCTCGTCTTGAGGTGATGGATTGAGGTTGGGGTGGTGGTGGTGGTGGGGGGGTATTTGGGTGTATTTCAGCAAAATAGTTTTTTAAAAGTTGTTTCTTTAATGTGAAGATGTTCATGGAGGGATTGAAATTGAATAATAAAATGGCAATAGGAAATACCTTATATTTATTGACTTAAGTAAGACAAAATGATAATGAACACTGAACTGAATTTATTATTTATTATGCTTTGTAAAATATGTTGGCTATATACATGTATATGTATGTTCACATTTCCTGCAGTGCCAATTCAACCTAGTACATGCAGCAAAAGTTGCATTTTCAAGGATCCTACACTAGATGCTTGAAAGCTACATGATGGATCAATTCTTATTCACTGCTTCTACTCGGTTACTGCAGAACTAATGGCTTTAACTTTTATGAACACTGGGTTTTAAGGTTAAGAGTTTTAGCAGTTGGAGTTAATTGTTTACTACAATAATTAATGGGAACTTCGTATATCTACAATATGACATCAATATGAACAATGTATGAAAACCAACTGGGGTCTGTTTCACGAAATTTTAACAAAGATAAAATCCAAATTTGAGTAATTTGATTGGATAATATTAGATTGATTTTAGTGCTTAGCCAATCAAAATTGAAGTTTCTACTAAAATTTGGATTTTATCTTAAGTTAACATTTCGAGAAACAGTGCCCTGGAACCTTTGTTAGCTGAACAGTGAAGAAAACACGCCACAAATCCTCCATTATATTAGCACTTGCTTTAATCCAACCCAGATTATCTTATTGTACCTGCAGAAATCAATGATTAAAGACAGGGTTTTTCGGCGCTAATGTACTTTCGTACACCTAGTACTTGCTGTCCTGTGGTCGTAGAGACTTGAAATTTGCTGAGGGTGTTCCAGGTTGTTAACTATGATCTCACACCAAATTTCAGACGAATCGGGTCAATAACTTTTGATTTTACACAACTTGCACTTCTCCCATTTTCTGGTACACAGAGCTCGTCGTGCGGCCATGCTTTTTACTATTGAGACTCAAATACCATACCAAGACACTATTATGACTTGCTGAACACCAACCAAGCTTCCTACCATCACTGATCATATATAATAGTAACAATTTTCGTCATTTTGTTGAGTAGCTGTTCTTACGAATATAACAAGCTGCGGTACCACGGCAAGTGCTAGGTGTACAAAAGTGCATTAGCGCCGTTTTTTCTAGTAGTTTTGGGGACAGATTCTGAAATACACATAACTCTAAAATTCTAAGGCCCTATTTCTTTTTAGTGTTACTCTTCTGTGATGAATTTTTCAATTTTGTACTAAGCTTGGTTTTAGAATCAGTTTTTGTTTTTTTGTCAGTTTTTGTCCGTTTTTTGGACGGATCATTGTTCCCTATGCCCAAAGCATTGGATTTAAAATCTGTCATTTTTTCTTTTAATTTTTCCTGTTTTTGAGCAATGAGTTCTTTTCTATTCCACAGCAAAATATTCACGCCCATTCCTGAAGCCAGTGCCTCACCACTGTGGTTGAATTTGTTTAAAGACACTATTCCTGGAGCACTTGGGTCAAAAAGTTTTGTGACAACCTCTCCTGTTTCGGAATCAATTATATCGATGGTTCTTCGTTCGCCAGATTTATATCCTGGGAAATTCTGATCAGGATAACGACCGACAACAATTAGATCTTGTAATGGATGCCATGACGCCTTTATAGGGGTTATATGTTGAAAGAATCGGTGAGGATGGTGTACGGTTCTTTCCAATCTCCATTCAGGGGCACTGAATATTTTTATATCACTGTGTTGATCGGTGGTCAAAAGACGGCAGCCATTTGTCAGGCTAAAATAGGCGGAGTTAACTCCCTTATTATGTTGAAGAACAGCGAGGCTACTTTTGTTATCCTTGATCATTCTAATGTCCCACAGTCGTACAGTATGATCAACTGATGCTGAACAAAATAACCAATTTTCTCGAGGTGAAAACTCCACATGTGTTACTTTCTGCTTGTGTAATTTCTTATTCCAAACCTTTTGTCCTTTTTCTGATAAACACAAAATATTACCCACATTGTCACCTGTCAGTACGGCACTGTGAGACGAACTAACATCTAACGAACAATACCAAAAATCCATACAATTCATAGTATCGGATAATATTTGACCATGACGACCTTCAAAATCATGTAATGTAAGTTTTCCATTAATGGATGCAGTGCAGAGAAAAGAATTATTCCAAGGCCAGAATTTCATGGCTTGAATAGATCCTCCTGCTCCATCTCCTCCAATAAATTTATCGTTCGTAATTGTACTAGAATCCCACAGTATAATATCGCCTCCTTTCGACCCAACTGCTAATATATTGGGATTGGATGGATGCCATTCCATTGCTGTTGTTCGTCTATCAAATGGAGTGGCACAGCGACAAAGTCCAAATTCAGACAGCTGATTTACAACTGGGTTTGTCAAGGTATGTTTTTGTTTTGGTGATATTTGCATTCCATAATTTGTTTTATACAACAAATGGAACATATTCATACTTTTACTCATTAAGGAAGAAACTGAATTTTTCACAACAAAATCTGATTTACGGCTCTCAAAATTACAAATAAAATCTGTCTTTTGTCCAGCAATTTGTAGGCCTAATGATTTTGAAGAACCCTGATTTACAGCACTGGTAGCTTCTAACCTCTTACTCTTTTTAGAACAAATATTTTGAGATTCAGTATCCAGTGTTGTGGTGTTTTTCCCACGAGATTCACTCTTAATTTCATTCATATTCAGATCTGTCAACATTCGTTTACGTAGTTTTGATGCTAAAGTAACCTCAGTGCCACTAATTCCAGTTGATGAATTATCTTCTTCTAGGTGTTCTTTACATTTTCTGGACATCGCCGATCTTCTCGAAGAAGTCCTAGTACCACTTGCAGAGGTAGACATTTTAGTAAATCATACACCACTTATTTGAGTGGGTCTTCTTATTCAATAACACAAGTTAAAATAAAACTAAGCTTTGCAGTCAAAGCTATTAATGTTTTTTTATCCAAAGATCAATCTCTTTCAAGATGACAAACTACAGTTGTTGTATTATTACTGTACATGTATAATACACTGTTATTACAGACACCTTTTCCCGGGCATTTTGGACGTTATATAACGGGTATGTAACCACGTTCCACGGGTTGTTGCATTTGAGACAACATTTATCACGACAATGCGCATGTCTACTACCATCAGTTAATCACAGGGGACTTCCGGCATCCTCCACCCACAACAAAGCACCTTTCTCTTTAGTACCTTTAATTAAAATTAATAATCCATGTAAGTTCTAAGTAAAATCGAATATCCAATTTACTTTAGTAACCCAAGGTTTTCGTCGGCGAAATAAATTGAATTTACTTCAGACACGGTAATATCCAAACTGTTTCACATCAGTTTGAGTCATTTCGGCACCGAGTAAAAATAACCAAAAATTCAGACCCTGTGGGTTTTGGAAACATACCGATGCAAGGGAGCTAACTCCTTTTTTGTTTGTGAACGTAAGGGGCATGGAATGTCATTCATTCGCTCTCCACTTATGTAGTCGAAAATAAATGTAATTCACTCCTCCGACTCGAGTAGCACGGAATGGCACTAATAATAGTAATGATGTCTAAACAATAGACTGCTTCAGCTGGTAGTGATTTTGGGTGTTTTACGATTGTTTATTCATGTTGATGGACACCAGACAAACTATTGTGATTGTAAGTATCATGTTTGAATGACGATGTTAACCAGAAAATGTTGATTTTATCGAGGATTATGGAGCCGAATCGTTGTTATTATACTTAAGACTTTAAGAGAAAATGGAATCATGGTTCAAATTTTAAAATTATCATAGTCATAGTATAGTACTGTATAGTAAAAAAGGTAAAAATGGCCATTTTCGAGATTTTCCACTTGTAAATATCACATAACACATGATATATTTTATGGATATTTAACAACATGAAAATCACTAGCGGTATTTAGGCCTACTCATTAAGTCATTTAGTATCAAAACAAAAATAGCTGGACAAAACTTAACAATGTAAAAATCAAGTGGTATTCAGACAATTCTGACCAAAGACCATTCGGACCAAGACAGAAGACCACTCGGACCACGCCAGAAGTAGAGTGGTTAGTGCACATAACAAAAATCCAATAAACGAGCTATATTTGGGGCTTATTTTAACAAATATGATAAGACTCACCATTAAAATCATCATTTATTAACAATTAAACTATGGCTAAGTTGGATATTTGTGTGATTTACCCATTTTGGAATCCTTATCGTCTATTTTTCACAGTGATTCTTCTTTGTTCACCAAAAGGAAACATTTCTCAACACATCTGACAACAAATTTGTAATAATTCAACACTATTTCCTAGTAGAATTTTGCGATTCAAAAACACAAACAAATTCATTTGAATTGAACCGACATGGAGAAACCTGTGCTTGCGTAGACTGTAGGTCACAAGTTTGCGGCTATGGTTAGCCAATATTCAAAATCTAGGAATGAAATGTTACTGTAAACAAAAATTCTTACAGAAGATACATGTAGCTAAATTCATCCATAAGAAAGCTAAATTCATCCATATTTCTTTGAAAGTAACCAATTTGGTTTTTTGAAAAAATAGTTAATATTTATGATATTGAGTTCAGAAGGACCGCGCTACTACAATCAAAATAAAACGGATAAGACAAACTACACAGCAATTTCAAGGAGTATATACTATATACATCAAATATCAAATAAGAAACTGTGGCATTAAAGATACATTATGGGAGATAAGATAAAGAGATGGCAGTTCTAGTTCTCGCTATAATAGTTAAAAACTAGATAGTGTAAAGGTGATTTGCTGAAATTTTCAGTCAAATTGATCCACTATGAGCCGAGAAAGAAGCGGGTGAAATTTTTGCATAGTCTCGGTCATTATTACTAAAATCATTAATATAAACAGCATAGTCTCGATTATCCATTTTTCTTGATTTAATTATCAATGGCCGTTAGCGGCAAATAGGAATCTAATCCAGCCAACATCGAAGGCTAGCCTTTACATCGAGAGTTTATTATGGTCGGGATAAGTTAATTAATGTCTAATTGATAATTTAGATAACATTTCAGGCCTAAAGAAAGACTTGTAATAAGCAGATTTTACTCTTACATAATGCATGTTTAATTGTTGATTGCCAAAATTGTCAATGCAACTCAGGACAGCCATTTTCATGTTACCTACATGTAGATATCTATTTATTTTTCAATCTATATAAATGTAAACTGCATGTACATGTATATATATTTGACATTTATACATACATGTAATAATATCTATAGGCCTATATTTTACTTTTATAACTTACATAGCTTGCATCTTTATATAGACTGAGAAGTAAATAAAAGTGTACTGTGCATAAAAATAAAATAAATAGAAATGTACTGTGCATAAAAATAAAAAAAATATGTAGGACATGAAAATATATAAGCCTACCGTCTATAATACATGTAATACACAGATATGTACAATATACTGGTATATATGTACCATATAATACATGTAATGTAACATATACATGTACATGTGTATGTATATAATATATGTAATGTGACATAGATACATACAATATAACAGTATATATGTACCATATATGATATATGTAAAATAACACAGATATGTACTGGTAAATATGTACAGTACATGTATACGATAGTTCCTTTAGGAAATGTCTCTGATCGGAAGATGTCCGCTGACATACGGTAAAATACCACTCTTCCGCCATCTTCGGGTATTTTAGAACCCTTGCCTTCTATTTTTCACCGTGAATGTTTATTTTTCGCAAAAGGAATAATTTCTCGTCATACCTGACACAAATTTATAATAATTCAACACTTTATTGTTCAAGTACAATTTAGTTCAAACGTATTTTCTGTATGTTTTTGATTAGTTCAAACGTATTTTCTGTATGTTTTTGATCGCAAAATTCTGCTTGAAAATAGTGTTGAATTATTGTGAATGTGTGTCAGCTGTGGCAAGAAATGATTCCTTTGGCAAACAAAAAAGAATTAGGGTGAAAAATAATTGGTAAGGATTCCAAAATAGCCTTAGAACAGAGGTGGCGGAAGAGTGGTATTTTACTGTATTTTCATATTGCAGCTATATAGGGATGCAGCTATATAGGAACGGTCAGCGGACATCGTTCGATCAGAGACAGTTCCTAAAGGAACTAAGTATACGATACATGTAATGTAGCATAGATATGTACTGGTATATATGTACCGTATATGATACATGTAACACAGATACGTGTACATCCAATAAACCGGTAATTGCTATTTGTGACAACCGAACTGTTTTGTTTGATCAGCAACAGAACACAATTAGACATTTTATCTATTTGTATTTTCTAGGAAATGGTAATTATACAGTGAACCGGTATTTCAAGTTTTCAACGATTAAATTGATGGATTTGAAGAATAATTATCTCTGTAATTCAAACCTGTCAACAACCTGTTTTTTTTTTATGTCATGGTTTAATTGATGTCTCCATTATCCTTGATTGATTGAAACACATTATTTATTCATTGTTGGTACAAGGCCTTGCGTGTGTTCATATGTTCTTCGTGTGGAAACAATTACATTGTCAAACAGTAGATATTTGAAACGACAGCCAGAAAGCTGTATATATACATGTATATATACTCCATATGTAGTTAGCAGCCAAACAGATAATAATCAAGTTGTTTTGAAATGTTGTGTGTTTAAGTGGAGAATTCTTATTGTTAAAAGGTAAGAATATTAATAATATAGAGCTACACACACTGTAACCTGGGTATCATTTAATCTTGTGTATCTAGCACTTCTTTCACATTCCTTTAATATGAAATCTTTATTTAAGAATTTGTAAAAATCGCTTAAAATCACCTAAAATCATCTAATGTCTCCAGTTTGATAATGAGTGTTCAATTTACAATTATTTAATTTCCTGACCACTTACAATTTACAATTATACATCAATAATCAATTAGGTTGTTTATATTTTAACAGTGATTGAGAAATTAAATGCTTGTAAATTGGACACTCAATATCAAAATTGAATGGACAGCTTTAAACCGGACACAAGTACAAATGCGATGATTTTTAATGATTTTAAACGATTTTTTAAACAAAAATTTGATATTGAATAAATGTGAAATAAATTAGTGCTAAATACACAAGATTAAATGATACCCGGGTTACAGTGATACATACATTGTAAGGACCATGCATGAATATAAGACACCAATATCAAGCATGAATTGAGACTTTGTCAGGTACAACATCTCTGGGTTCTGTTATTTTATTAAGACAGATTTGTATTGTCACAGTGTTAATATTGATACATGTAATTTAGAACATGTCTGGGACAAAATTCAAAATGTCAGTTGATAAGTGCCAGGTAAAACTACAATCAATATTTTCATTCCTGATGCTTAAACGGCTGGCTCCAGGATCTATTCACTTGATTTGAAACACACTGTATTTGTTATTTCTTTTTTGCAATATCGATGTAGTTTGTCTTGAGGTTTGTTTGTTGGTTTTGTTTTGTGTTTAGTGCAGTCCTCCTGCTCTTACTATTTAAATAACAGTATAAATTGTCAAATGTTGTGAACATAACAGATAGCTGTATATTGATTTCAAAATCTACCTACAATAAAAATAAAAATATATATGAATAAACATGCTTCTGGGGTCAAGGAATAGACTGAAATATATGGATAAACATGTTTCTGGGGTCAAGGAATACACTGAAATCATTGATTAGTTCGTATGGTGATTAATTACATGATTAAATCCAAAATGCCAGACAATATGACCCTTTAACTCGATAGGAGTGGAACATGTGGGCGATTATTTCACTAAACCAAACATATCTGGTGACAAACTATATATTTCTGGACATAGGAGCATATGAGTGATACGATAACACCACATACAATGTATGATTGGTCCCTGACTAGCACAATTGTGTACCGAGTATGTGGAGTATCTCCTGCACTTACAATTTAAATAAAGGTATCAGTTATCAAGTGTGGTGAACCTACAGTTCCTACCAAATTTTTGAGACCAGAATCGCGCCGACGCGGCGAAAAAAAACACTCCGAATTCTCTTAGATTTCACGGTGAAATTTCGCTTAATTCCGCGGCGATTTTTCTCTAAGATTCGCCGTGTTTCTCTAGGAATTCGCCGTGTTTCTCTAGGAATTCACCGTGTTTCTCTAGGAATTCACCGTGTTTTCTCTAGGAATTCACCGTGTTTCTCTAGGAATTCACCGTGTTTCGGTAAAAGTACATCGTGCTTTGCCGTGCTTCCCGCAAGGAATTTGCGAGCCTACCTTAAGCTAGGGTCGAACTAATATTGTCTATAATACATTTGTAAATTGAAGGGGTTGTAATATAGTAATGCTCCCGGGAATATGTTTAAAGTACAGGCCGATTTGAATAACAAATGAGTTAGGTAATCTCGGGGAGACATTTACCGGCATTCTGTATAGGTTAGGATTTTTTTCCCCAACGCACTGTATACATGTACATACATAACGCCGGCGAAAATGTATGCCAAAATAAACAACTTACAATTTTTTAAACGTATCATTACATCTTCGTCTATAACTTAGATGTAACCCACCAATTATTGGCTGCTATCAAATCCAAACTTTAAATTATATATTTGTACGATGAGATTTTACACACTACTTCATAACCCGCAGCTTCAGTTAAACTAAATCAACGCCCCATAAAGCACAGCGCCATAAATCACTTCCGCAATGCGTTAGTCACGTGGTCAGAAACGCGCGAAAACCTGAGCTGTTGGGTTCGACACGGGGACTATATTCTTAGCAAATCTTGACTGTCACCGGTATATGATAACAATGTATTATGACGTATTAAAACAATTCACCATGAAGCACATCAAAGACAATCAGTTAAAACAACGATAACTGAGTAGTGATTAATTCGTATTATTTGTACTCATCCGTGTTAATAGCTGCAATAATTCTTAATCACGGCTACAATTGATACTCTATTCGGGGCTTTGAGCAAGTAAAATTAGGTTTAATTACAAAATGATGACAGTTTGCGTGGAAATAAGTAATTATGTTACAGTTATTCTGTATTTTCTAGCAAAACGGAAGACATCAGTAGTGGACTACTCGAACCAATAATAAAGAGTTGTTTTAATAAATTGATAATTGTGTTTTAATATGTATCTGTTTTCTTTGAATTAATAAAGTGTTATGTATTACCCGTGGTATTTTGTCACAATGAAGCAAAACCAAGATGTTTTCTTAGGGAGCCAGACTTTGTTTGTATATAGAAGAGCTTGAATCTGATGATTACATTGTATTAACCACCTGAATGGGTCAAATTTAAACAATGACATGGCTTCCTGTAGATTTGTCGAAAGCCTTTGTCTCTTAGCTTGGTGGTTGAGAAGTATTATCGTTTGTTTTATATAAAATTAATTGGAGTAAATAGAATCAAAGAACTTTTGCCGATACCTTGTACGTATAAATGGCAGGTTATAGTCGAATGGTTTATTTCGAGATTATTCAATACGACAGGTTATCATTAATTCAATACGGCATCATGTGGAGAAATCAAACCAAGGAGTACTCGCATTATCTGGTTAAGTTTGACGACGGTGGCTTACTGATTGTTCCCAGAAGTAGGATATTAGAAGAGGGTAGGATTGCGGAGAATGGGAAGTACAAGGTGCAATATAACAAACCCGAAGATGTGTCTGACGCTGTTATTATAAAGACTGGAGACTACTTGACATTGTCAAGGCTAAAGAGGGAGATGGGACAAAAGAAGAAAGATGAGCATCAAAAGAACCCCAGTACAATCCCGACACCAAAGCGTACCTTAACGACGAGTCGCTTACCCCAACCGAAAAGAAAGGTAAATAGTTTTCACAAAAACAACATAACAAAAATATACAACAATTTAATAATTTTATTGCAATCGTTTTCTGACTTTAGGGTCGTTTAGGAGTTTTTGATTAAAATGATTACTGTCCTTCCCGAATGAACGTTCGGACCCAAAAAGTCTTTTAGGCATATCAGCCGTGGCTTTCCCACCCACCACCACAACAACCGGAACAACCTTGTACATGTGATCAATAAAGCGATTACATATGTCACGCGTAAGCACGTTGTACCAAAAGTCTTGGCAGTAATTACAGAGTTCTTCTTTTGTGGTGGGGTTCTTTTTCGATACGTAGCGCTTCAGCATATTCCACACCATTTCGATTGGATTTAAGTCTGGGCTTTCGGGGGGGGGGGGGGGGGGGTGCACCACCAGTTAATGTTATTGTCCTCCATAAATGTTTTTGCAAGTCGGGATGTGTGCTTTGGATCATTATCCTGTTGGAAGCGATGTCCATCGTGAAATCTCTTATTTATGAATGGTAGTAAAGTTTTTTTAAAAATTTCCTCTGTATAGAAAACACTGTCCATAATACCATCAAATATAAGAAGTTGGCTTTTTCCTTTACGACTAATACCCCCCCACAAGTGAACTTTGTATGGGTGTTTTGGGCGACACTGTTGTGGTGCTCTCTGATCTTTTTGTCTATATGCAACTGTTTTGTTATCGTGTAGTTGTATTGAGCATTCGTCTGTAAATATCACATTATCAAACTGGTCATTGGTCTCTAATAAATGTCTACAGAATTCAACCCTTTTTTCTTTATTCTGGTCTCTGATTAGTTGACAATATCGTGGTTTCGTTGATGTATAACCGGCAAAATCAATGGCGCGTCTGACTGTACTAATCGAGGTGTCTGTGCCGTGTGCTGAAAGTGTTTTCTGGATATCCCTGGCAGACTGTGCTGGGTTCTGTTGAAATTCGTTATCAATAAATACTATGTCATCGGAACACAAGTTGTTAAAATGGTGGGTTTTTTCAGTCAATACGCACTTGTTGTCAAATCGTCCTTCAATATATGCGGTTACCGTATATTTTACACCGGACAAAGAAACATTCACATTAGATTGGTTAAGGTATCTATGTATAGCAGAACACTTCCAGTCTTTCTTGTGGAGTTCAACAATTTTTAATTTATCCAAGTGTGGTATACGAGTAGCAGGCATTTTTATGAATTGAGCTACTGGTTTCTTGGGTTTTATGGAGGAATCGACTACGACAATACACATGAACAGATATGCAAAAAATATACATGCGCACACGTGTCATCATATTTATATATTCAAATGGTTTCAGTCTAATTAACAAGTGACATGTCAATGTGCCGTGTCTATTCCATGGTGTGACAAATTAAGAAATGGCTGAGGTCAGACACAAAGTTACTGCTAAGTGTTAGAGTTCTTATCAGTAAATTAATTAACCCAAGTCTCTTAATTTCATGTTCAGCTTAGAAAACAAGCGAGTACTTTGGAAAATATTTTAAAATTAAAACTCGCAGCCATTTTCCATAATAGCAATGTAGTACAGATTTATATAGTGCATCTGAGACAAGCAGTTCAAACTTATTTGTCTTTTTTTTCATCTGATGTCATTATTAAATATTAAAAGTCCAATTCTTTAACCCTCAAAATATTGAAGTGTTGTTGAATGAATAAAAATAAATATATTTTATTCTCTTGTCTTTTCAGAAAATGGCATCAGTTATCCGTCGAACGACGCTAGAAAGTTTCAGTTCCAATGACCCACGTGATCTGTCAATTTCTAATGTATCCTCGAGCTCCTATTCAACTAGCTCAACACCAGAATCAGTCTTCCAGGCATCATCAAGAATACCAGTGCCCGTACGTGTAACAGTACCCCGAGATGTCGAATCGCCCTCTACGTCTGAAGAACAGTCCCTCCTGCAAGCCCTGCCAGATTTACAAGATTGTGAAATTACATGTAGGCAGCTTTTTAGGACACCTAATAGGAACAGGCAGAAAACACTCTCAGCAGTAGAAAGGTACATGAAGACAATGAATAAAAAGCAGCATGAACTACAACTAGAAGTCAAGGGACTGCGACAAGAATTAAAGGATATGAATAATCTTGTTTTGTTGATACTACAGAGACTCCCCCCTCATGGCGAGGGACAAGATCAGCAGATACCACCAGTACCTAGTCCCCAGCCCGCCACACAGACGCTGCCAACGCCTGAAACTGACACATCAAAATTTGGTGATATCCCACCGGAATTTCGTATTTCTGCTGAAGATCTGAACGCCATGCACCTCCATGCTTTTAATGCCGGCCATTTCGCAACTAAAATAGTACAAAGACTTTTTCCGGAACTGACCGGACCCGACAACTTACGGCAGAAATATTCGTATTTCGGTGGGGGTAGATGCAATAAGCTAGAACTCGATACACGACGGAAATCATTCGTCGTAAGATATGTTTTACATCATTATCCTCAAGTGCAAGAAAAACATGCCTGGCAAGAGCGCGTGGTCGTAAAGATTAACGAATTTCTAAGACGAAAATGAATTTTATGTGTGTATAGACAAAAAAATTTTTAAATAGAAAAAAACAAACATTTTATGTGTGTGTGTAGACAAAATATTTTTTAAAAAGAAGAAAAAAAAGGTGTTTGCGATGGATTTGAATACATTGTTTACCAAGTGTCAAGACTTTATGTGAGTAAATACATGTACTAACTGCAATAAAAAATGAATTCACTTTTAGTGCATGTATGATTATTAAATTTTGACTGTAAAATATTATGATTTGTATACATTGTGCATATGTATTACATGTACATGTTTAACCTAATTTCGATTTTCAATAAAAATCATGTCAATGGAACCAAAAGAATATATTGTATGATTATTTAATTTTGACTGTAAAATATTATGATTTGTATACGTTGTACATTTGTATTACATGATTAACTTACTTTCGATTTTCAATAAAAATCATGACAATGGAACCAAAAGAATAAAATGCTACCCAAAACATCTCTTTAATTGTCGGTTATGGATTTATTATGCAATATCGATGCAGGTTCAATCACGAAACTTGCGCTTACACCGTCTAGTATAGCTTTTGAGCTGCTGATATGTATATGCAGTAGAAAATCGGGAAGTTGAACGTACGAAGGAATGGAATCATTCAGAAGTGTACTCAAAATAAGTAAATTATAACGGGGTGATGACGAGAATTAACACACGTGTGGCCATTGTATAAATATATGCCATGTACGCGTCTGTGTGAAATGGCTTTATTTAATATCCGCTTCTACCGAAATGAAATGAGGGGCACCCAGTAGATGTATATTGTCACAGTACCCCTTCCCACCCATATTGTTTTAATGCGTCATAATACATTGTTATTATGTACCGGTGACAGTCAAGATTTGCTAAGAATATAGTCCCCGTGTCGAACCCAACATCTCATGTTTTCGCGCGTTTCAGACCACGTGACTAACGGTTAACCACATTGCGGAAGTGATTTATGGCGTTGTGCTTTATGGATTTAGTTTAACTAAAGCTGCGAGTAATGAAGTAGTGTGTAAAATCTCATCGTATATAATTCAAAGTTTGGATTTGGTAGCAGCCAATAAGATGAAATGATACGTTGTAAGTTATTCATTGTTTACATACGCCGTACACGGTGGCACCACGTTATACATGTACAGTGTGTTAGAAATAAAAAAATACGACCGTAGCTGCCTCGCCAACGGTTAACATATCTTGTATTCAACTTAAATAAATTACATTTTCCGTCAACATGCTTACATCGGGATGATATCGGCACTCAAGCGATTCACCGTGTTCCACCGCGAAACACTATAATTCACCGTGAAACACCCTATTTCGCGGTGATTTGGCAAGCTGCCGTTTCGCTAGCGATTCTCCGAGATTCCACCGTGAAATAGAGTGTTTTTCCACGGTGTTCGGTGTTTCTAGTCTCAAACTCCAGACACGTAGTGTACATGTAACAGATATGTGTAAATTGATTTAAAAATCTCCATACAATGAAAATATATACATGGATAAACAATATGGTCGCTGACTAGCACAATTGTGTATCTGGTATCTCAAGTTGGTTTTAATATTTCAGAAAAGGCAAAAAACTTATAACTTAACTTATTCCAGGGTATGCGGGCCCCTACATGTGTATTATCAACATCTTTAATTCGTAACGAGGAATGAACAACGAGAATTGACTTCTGATGTTTGGTAGAATTTAAAGATGTTATTAACGTAATTTTTTTTTTTGTGTGTGTTAAAATGGTAAGAGCACGATTTTCGGAGTTCTCGACCTAAGCGCGCGGGCAAGGAGAAACAAGGAAACAATTCAACACAACCTTAATACACTGTATTTACAGACCATTCTGTGTCAATAATTGTTGAGAATTGTTTATATATCATCATTTATTATCTTTCTTTAAATCTTGTTTGAGATGTGACAATTTAAAGCTAGATTGGCACATGTATGACCCGGTAAAATTTCCTTTTGCACATTTTGCATGATTTGGATATATATATATCGAATCTATACTGATATTTGTGACTCATTTGTCTGTCTGTCTGTTCAGGGTTGGCAGCTACACTAGGACTGCCCCGAGGCTGAAATTCAGTGTATAGGGGTAGCTTGGCCCGGGGAGTAACAGGCTAGGTGGCGATGGACTACCACTTCAGGTATCTGAGTCATGACACGAAAACTACCTAATGTTTCATGTAACTCAGAATTAAGAAGCGGGTTAAACATCCACTCTACACAAACAAGGTCATTTCGGGACTAACATACATGTATGGTTCAATTTTATTTCAGTAATTTGCTTGCACATAGGGGTCTTTAGCAGAGGGAGGACACAGAGAAAACCCATGAGGTTGGACAGGTGACCCTACTCCTTGTCACATACAACCGGGGATTCGAAACCACGCCCGTTGACTCAATGACAGGCCTTATGATACAGCGCGCACATGCTAACCATTCAGCCATACAACCCCCTCCCTACCCCCCCCCCCCCCTCATTTTGATAGTCCCCTGCTTTCTTAAAGCTGAGGGACAATAAAACATGAATCAGAAATCGCTAACCTTAAATGAGCAATGAGAGAACAACATCAGTTGAATGGTTGTAATGAAATGTTTGGAGAATCGAATGTGACCTCTTCTTTTATACCCTCAATTGTTTATTTGGTTGGTAATCTAAAACAATTGGAGTCTTAAATCCAAGTTTAATTTTTCTACAGCTTTCGAGACTCCGAACATTACATAATTATCCAACCTTTGTTGCTTCTGAGGGGAAGCTTTAATCTCTTATCTCTCCTAATCTCCATTCCCCTCGATTTAATGACAGACCTTGTGATTTCAGGCGCACACATCAACCACCAGACAAAACTGATATTAATTTCCTTGTTTAAAATCAGGTTTCTAATAAATCAATCTTAAATTTAAGGGAAATCTGTTCATTATTGATCAAGAACATTTTTTTTTTTAGATACATAACCCATGGGGGTGGACAGACGACTGTACATCTTGTCACGTATATTGTACATGTATAGTGAGCAATTGGCATGTACATGTACAATATTACAAGTATATTATATCTGTGATCAACCGAGGTCTTGGTGTCTTCTTAGATTAATGACCACATTGTGTCTTGTAGTGTGATCTATTATAGATAGAAAGATTATTGATTTGTTATTGACCTGCCAGATTTTTTGTTCAAGTGACAAGGAAGGACACTTAGTTGACTTAGCCATGCATGTTATTGTAGCCTTGAGGGGAGACATTGACACAATCTGATATACATGTACCAAAATTCAATCTGATTAAAACACAGATCCTATTTCAATTCGTTTTTTATAGTTCCAAATTTCATTTTTACTCGTCTTCACAATACAAGGATCTGAAAGAGATGTTATATAACAGGCGTTCTGCTTGATGTGAGGAATTAGCCAATGAAACGGTCTGTTACGGCGAGTTCTTGGCATGCTTTGCACGGGACTGAGGGTAAATCCCTAGAAATGTCAACACTGATGGATTAATCAATGTCTGATGTCATAGGGTCAAAAGCTGTTTGTGTGACCCCTGATGCGACCTCCCAGTACAAACAGTCAGATCTTCATGTAGAGTAGAGGCCATCGAAAGTATAAAAGGACGAAACGAAATATAGATATTAATCAGATTGCCGGTATGTTGTCTTTTTTGGTTTCTATCTGATCATACATGTCACACTGTCATTGCTGATTATTGAATTCTTATCAACATCTTGTGAGAACAATAGCAACAGAAAAACCATTGATAACCATGGTGAAACATTTATTATAAATGGACTTTATTTTCATAAAGCTAAGGCCAAAAGAGATATATCTGTGTTTATGGTTACCGGAAGGAATCCGTTTTTTGAGCCAAAATCCCTGATCCTGAACTTTTTTTATCATTTCCAAGGTCCTATAAATCAGGGGGAGTTGGATGGCCGAATGGTTAGCACGCGCGCTCTGTATCATGCGGTCTGTCATTGAGTCAACTGGAGGGGTTTTGATTCCCCGATTGTATGTGACAAGGAGTAGGGTCGCCTGTCCAACCTCATGGGTTTTCTCTGGGTCCTCTGGTTTCCTCCCACTGCTAAAGACCCCTACGCGCAAGGGAATTATTGAAATAAAATTGAACCGTGTGTTAGTCCCAAAATTACCTAGTTTGTGTCGAGTGGACGTTAAACCCCATTTCTCTCACATCTAAGGGCCTATAAATCAGTCTTGGCGTCGTTTTCTGCGGCTAATTCCTTCACTGATATTTCAGTATTTACAACAGTTTGAAGGGTATTAATTTCTGGAACCGTATTCAGATATTTGAGGGGCATTATGGGAGATTAGATAAAGAGCTGACAGTTCTCGCAATAATAGTTAAACCAGCGGTTGTCAGGCAGGATACGCCGACATTTTCGAGAGATGGATAGAGAACAAGCTAACAAGAAAGTGATTTTTCCTACAATCAAGGGCCATAATTCAGGAAATTACAATTCGATATGCGCATATATCGAAAGGAACTGAGATCTTTGTGTTATAAACTTACATTTCAAGTTTCAACAAAATCAGATAAAAATTGTGACCTCTATAGGGTCCACAACCTTGATATACCATATTTTTACGCTATTTGAGAACGAATGGCGGCCATTTTGTCTGTCAATTTTGTTGCGATTTTCACGAAATTCAAACTCAACTGTCCTTAGGGTGGAATGGTAATATAATAATACAGTTTTTTAAATCGGATAAAAATTATGACCTCTAATGGGTCCACAAGCTAAAAACATGATTTTTCGTACAATCAGGGGCCATAATTCAGGAAGTTACGGTCTGATATGGGCAAATATTGAAAGGAACCGAGATCTTTGGGTTATAAACTTATATTTCAAGTTTCAACAAAATCGGATAAAAATTGTGACCTCTTTAGGGTCCACAACCTTGATATACCATATTTTTACGCTATTTGAGAATGAACGGCGGCCATTTTGTCTGTCAATTTTGGGCCGATTTTCATGAAATTCAAACTCAGTCGTCCTTAGGGTGTAACGGTGATATAATAATACGTTTTTTTTAACTCGAATAAAAATTATGATCTCTATAGGGTCCACAAGCTAAAAACGTGATTTTTCGTACAATCAGGGGCCATAATTCAGGAAATTACGGTCCGATATGCGCAAATATCGAAAGGAACCGAGATCTTTGGGTTATAGACTTACATTTCAAGTTTCAACAAAATCGGATAAAAATTGTGACCTCTATAGGGTCCACAACCGTGATATACCATTTTCTTACGCTATTTGAGAACGAACGGCAGCCATTTTGTCTGTCAATTTTGGGCCGATTTTCACGAAATTCGAATTGAGTCATGCCTAGGGTGTAACGATGATATAATAATACATGCGCAAATATCGAAAGGAACCGAGATCTTTGGGTTATAGACTTACATTTCAAGTTTCAACAAAATCGGATAAAAATTGTGACCTCTATAGGGTCCACAACCGTGATATACCATTTTCTTACGCTATTTGAGAAGGAACGGCAGCCATTTTGTCTGTCAATTTTGGGCCGATTTTCACGAAATTCGAATTGAGTCATGCCTAGGGTGTAACGATGATATAATAATACATTTTTTTAAATCGGGTAAAAATTATGACTTCTATAGGGTCCACAAGCTAAAAGCGTGATTTTTCGTACAATCAGGGGCCGAAATTCAAAAAATTACGGTCCGATATGCGCAAATATCGACAGAAACTGAGATCTTTGGGTTATAAACTTATATTTCAAGTTTCAACAAAATCGGATAAAAATTGTGACCTCTATAGGGTCCACAAGCTAAAAACGTGATTTTTCGTATAAACAGGGGCCATAAGTGTGACTTGGATTTAAAAATATTTTAGAACCCTCTGGACAAGTAAAATAGGATTTAATGAATAATTTACACAACAGGTAGGACACTAACACATCTAGTACTTAGAATAAGGCTATTTTTTATTTTCTGGAGCTGTCAAGCCAGCAAGAATGTTATTGTCCCTTTAATGAATGCCTAATTAATAATTTAGATAACTTTTCAAGCCTTAAAGAAAGACCTGCCATAGGCAGATTTAGAAATGCTATGAAATAAATAATAAACACCTTACCGTATTTAGATAAAATGACAAAGACTAGAGAATACAACAAGTATTGAAAAGGGTTATTAATCTTACCCTACAAACCCCTCGAAAAGAAAAAAAAAATTTTCGTTCAGGCCAAATAAATCAGAAACACAGGTATTACTCTTATTGGCCTAACTTGTCTACATGTATTTCTTTAAAATAGCAATATTAGATCATCTTATGGGTTGCATTAATCATTCACAAGTCTACAGAATAGAGGAAATATTATCCATTCAGGTGGCTATTTTTACCTGAAGAAAGGTATTGGTGTGCTAGCTAGTCAAGCAGC